CCTGAAAAGGCTTTAATGTAATGCCAAGCAATGCCAGGCACAACTCTCCAGCTTTGTGCTTCCATTAAGAACCATTAGGACAGCAACTTGGAGGCTGTGCTTTTTCTTAGCTGGTGTTGCCGAAACAGGGGCGACTGCCCTGGGAGGGAGGGATGGAGGGGGTCCTTCCAGTGGCCCTGAGAGTCAGAAAGTGAGTGACCACTCTCCCTCCCTGCCTCAGATGGTGAAAAGGCACTGAAGGAGAGGTGTTCCCCAGAGAAGGAAGTGGTTGGTGATGGTGGTGGTGGTGGTTGTAATGGCTGCCCCTTAGATGTGTCTGGTAGCTGTGGGACCTTCTAGGGAAGGATTGCCACAGAGGGGCTGGTGGGTGGATGGTGGGGAATAGGGTCCCTGCCAAGCCTTTTCCTGCTGCTGAGCTGTGGCTGCTGGACCTTTTGTCCCCAGAGGTCCTCCAGGGAACCCAGTGCAGGAGGAGAGAGGGAGCCTTTCACTCAGAGAAGGGCACGGTTCCATTTTTGATAAAAGCTAAGGGACAGTATTAACTCTTATCAAAAAGGAACCATCCTCTTCTTTGAGTAGAGTGGCAAAAGGCTTTTTTGAATGTCTGGGCAGGAAAATGGCAGCTGGCCCCCTGAGGTGGCACTGGTGTTTTTGCCTCTATGCAGAATCAATTCCAGGAGTCCCATGCTAGGTTTTACCTTTGGTTTAACAACAGGTCATATCAAAATCCATAATTTTGGCCTTAAAACCTGCCCTTGGCTTATACAAGAGCAGGGGTAGGCAACCTTTCCCCTTTAAGGGCCGAGGGACTTCAGCTCCCAGAATCCCAGGAGCTATTGGCCAACATGGGACTATTGGCCAACATGGCTGAGGCTTTTGGGAGCTGAAGTCCCTCGGCCCTTAAAGGGGAAAGGTTGCCTACCCTTGGTATATATGGTAGTTGAAAATTGTATTTCACTTGCAGTACAACGGCCCACACAACTATGAATAAGTATGTCTATGTTACAGAAGATTTTCCACAGAAAATTTCCATGCCGCATCTTTGATGCAGTCATCATGGGTGGGGAAGAGAAACTTTCTCTACTTCTTTTGCATCTATGAATTATATTGTGCCTTTGGAATTTTTTTATGAGATTTTTTTCCCATCTTGGTGCTCAAGATAGATATCAAAACCCTTAGCAATATGGTATGATTTATTTGCAAAGCATTATGCAGGTAGATTCATTAATATACATTCTGTTTTGGACTCAGTATAATTTATAGTACAAGGACAAAATGAATCTAGGGATCTGTGGAGAAGTTATTATGAGAGGTGTGGCTATCTGTGCAACTGATGTTTCCTGCCTGGTATAGTTGAATCCAAAATTCATTATAAAAATCCATACTTAATTGAAAGAAATAATAGCCTTTGTTGTCTTCAAAGAGGTGACTACAAGGTCCCTTTTGAAATTCTGTTGCAAGAAACTTTCTTAGAAAATAACTCCTTGGACCTAGATGATTATGCTGGTATTGATTTTGCTGTGGACCACCATTTTGGAAGAAAGGATACTTTAGTTGTTGAGGCTTTGTCAACTAAGGTTGCCAGATTGTGATACTCCAAGGTGCAAAACACATTGCAGAAATAATCCAGTTTGAGACTGCTTTAACTGTCCTGGCTCAGTGCTGGGGAATCATGGGAACTATAGTTTATTGTGGCACCAGAGCTTTCTGATAGAGAAGGATAAATGTTTCACAACATTACAGTTCCTAAAATTCCCTAGCATTGAGCCAGGGCAGTTAAAGTGGTCTCAAGCTAGATTATTTCTGGCAGTCTGTAAAGGCCCTTAGTCCCTGCCTCCGGGAGGCAGGTAGGCACTGGAATTGATAATATTATCTCTAGTCAGTGAACAACACAGAATTCCTTGTTCTTCATCCTAGTTGGGTGAGCCATTGACATTCTCAATACTAACATAATTGGAAAAGCATATTTACTTGTCCATCCCTTTATGGGGGAAGTGAAGAGTGTGCATCTATTTAAAGAGGAGTAACAGCTAATGCTGCTTCCAAATGGCATTTTTATCTTTAATTCTGATACTAGTACTAGTGGAGTGCTAATATATCTGCAAGTTTCTACATGGTGCTCTGGAGCAAGAAGCGACATAGGGGTGCCAACGGTTCCAATATTTATTTATCAGAAAGTACCGGCAGTAAATCATTTATTTATTATGCTTCCTTCCTCCTCATTCCAAACTTTAATTTCAAATTTTGAAATTGCAGACAATAACCTTGTAAGAGAAACTTTCTGTCAAAAGGTAACTTTTCAGACTAGTGTTCTCACAGACAGGAAGAAAGTACACCTCATACATAAGTGCCACATTTTAAAAACATTTAACAAAATGCTTCCTACCAAAATAAAAGATTTTAAAAAATATTCTCAAGAACTTCAGTAAAGCTAGCAGCCTCAAATCCAGTTTATACACTCCAAATCTTAAAAGCAAAACAAATCCCACCTCACTCTGAAAGGCAAAGAAAACTTTCTTACCAAAGCCTTTCTTCAACCCCAAGATAATTACTAATATAGCCATTTTTCCTCCTCCACTTTCAACAAATTTACTAGCTGTTTCATGACCTGGATGGTATAATAAATTAAGATTCAGGGGGTGCAACTTTGGCCTCTGCTTATCCAGTGATATGAATACTTTTCAGTCTGAACAGCCTGAGGATGTGGACAGGATTCTTGGAGAGGTGAGAGCCATCACATGTGTATTAGACCCTTGCCCTTCCTGGCTTCTTAAAAAGTTGGAGGGGAACTGGCTGATTGGACAGAGTGATCCATCAATGCCTCACTAAAATAAAGCAAAGGTCTATCATGCCTAGAGGAAGCAGTTAACATGGACCATCAAAAAGACCAGTATATGGCTCCAAAAGCAAATCAAGCTTGAAGTTTCACTAGAGGCAAGAATGACTAATCTGAGACCATTGTACTTTGGACATGTTGTTTGACAACATGACTCATTGGAAAAGAAAATAATGCTTGGTAAAGTAGAAAGTAGGAAAAGAGGAAGATGACATTACAGATGGATTGAGTCTGTCAAGGAAACCATGGCTCTTAGTTTGCAAGACCTAAGTAGAGCTGATAATGACCAGATCTCTCAGTTTTGTAGCTCTGTCATTCATTTGAAGCAGGGGTAAGCAACCTTTTTGAGCTGGGGGCCGGGTTGCTATCCCTCAGACAATTGGGGGGCCAATTTTTTAAAAAAAATTTTAAAAAAATTAAAAATATGCATGCACACTCTCTCAGCCCCAGAAAAGCCATGGCAAAACCCCTGTGGAGATTTTGCCAAGAAAACCCCAAGAACAAGTAATGACAACAATAATCAATGTCATCATGGCGGGGGGGGGCGGCGGCGGCGGCGGTAGGACCGGCCCATGGCCGGTCCAGAGGCCTCGGGGGGCCGCATCCACCCCCCGGGCCTTAGGTTGCCTACCCCTGATTTGAAGGATGAGTTGATGGCAGATAACAGTACCTTTTGAATTACTGTAAGGTACCAGTGTGATACAGTGGTTTGGGTGTTTGACTAAGACTCTGGAGGCCAGGGTTCAAATTCCTGCTCATCCATGGGAATTCACTGGGAGACCTTGGACACATCACACTCTCTCAGCCTCAGAGAAAGGCAATTGCAACCCCTCTCTGAACACATCTTGTCAAGAAAATCCCATGACAGGTCACCATAAGTCAGAAGTGACTTGAAGGTACACAACAACAACAACAAAAACAAGGTGCTATACCTGGGCTGTGTTTGAAAAGGGTTCAGAAACTGCAGTTGGACTAATATACCCAACTGTTGGTTAGGACCTGTTAAGGAAGTACATGGTTCACTCTTATGACATCTTAACTGACTACTGGTCAGTAGCAAAGTGCTGGTTGTGATCTATAAAACATTATTGAGCTTGGGTCCAAGTGATCTGCAGGACTGTATTCTCCCATATAAAATGTACTTTGGTATATGTCATTATATGCAGTATGTCACTAAGGTTAGTCTTTGTACCAAAATACTGAGGAGCGGTCAGTGTAACAACAGTTGTAAAAACAGCATTTTTAAAAAATGGATTAGGTATGAGATGGGAGATATCAGAAAATCACAGGCCGATTAGCTAAACATTAGTAAATTAATGAAAAATATTATTAAAAACAAAATAATTAAGCATATGGCTTCTTAAAGACAGTGAATCATAACTTCCACATGTTGTCTTGTTTATGCTTTAGCATTGTTTATGAGTAAGGATGATCTGGTTGATGGCATAACTTGGCAGTTCCAAAACATACATATGTCTTGCATTCCTGTTGGTATACCTAGGTAATTAATTGCTGGTCCTTTGCTATCATCCAGGGCATTTTCGGATTGATCACAGTCTCCAAGCCTCTGCTCTTGCTCCCTTTGCTGCAATAAAATTGCTACATTAGCCAAGATTATGGAGAAATGCCAACAAAATATTAAATAATTGTACATAACGGTGTTTCCGTATAAAGTCATCATAGCTGAGCTACTCTATAATCAAACATTAGTTTTTTTAAAATGAATTTTATTAATTAAAATACACATATATATCTAACCACTTAAAACATATCACCACGTTAGACATTTGAAACTTACATACTATCACAGAGTACACACTAAACATTAAAAAAAAA